CTGTGTTCCACTCTGTGTTCCACTCTGTGTTCCACTCTGTGTTCCACACTGTGTTCCTCCCTGTGTTCCACTGTGTGTTCCACCCTGTGTTCCACCCCGTGTGCCTCTCTGTGTCCCCCACTCTGTGTTCCACCCCGTGTGCCTCTCTGTGTCCCCCACTCTGTGTATCCCACTCTGTGTTCCACTCTGTGTGTCCCACTCTGTTTCCTGTTTTATTTTGTAGTTTCTGCTCCTTGTGTGTTTTCCTCCTGGACTTCCTGCCCTCATCAGTTTCACCTGTTCATCCTGTGCCACCTGTCTCTAGCTTGTCATCAGTTCTGTGCAGGCACGTGCACAGACATTTTTGGGGGCAGGTGCTCAAGCCAAAACAAAGTGCACCCATCCTTAAAATGATTCATAAAATTAATTAAAAAAACACAGTAGGATATATTTAACTTCAGACTAACTAACACAATCAACACAGTCTTATCAAATAGGGTAACTCAAATTATCAAATTGAATATAATATTCTATCTTAAAACCTATCAAAACTCTGCTCTGAATAAATGAAATAAACATACAACTATTTACAAAGAAGGTGAAGGGAGCAGGATCGTTCAGCTACTTCACAGGAGCATCCTCCTTGGTGCCATCTCTTGGAAGATTTTTATGACCTCACTCTGGTTTATTTGTATGTCTTGCTCAATGGCAGGAGGAGAAGGTCAGAGAGTCTTTCTTCCCCAGTAGAAAGGACAGTAAAACTGTCTTTAAATTCTCTGTCTGTCTGTCTGTCTGTCTGCTGCAGCTGTCTGTATCTCTCTCTCCCTCTCTCTTCATTAAACATGACAAACGTCAGTAAACAGCTGGACAAGGCTTTGAAAACACAGATTTCATTAGTACAAAGCATGTAGGCTATGCGTTATGCATGGGTGCTCTTTGTATGAAAAGGCAAGTGTTTTCAGCGGGTGTGACGCCCTAGATCAGGTCGGGGCAGAATTCTCACAAGAACTCAAATAAATGCCCGTCATTTATATCAAAACACTTTTGGGGGGAACTGATGACAGAGAGGGTGATTTTTATTTTTTAAATATTGATGAATGAAGAAAAAAGTTGGGCTCCAGTAAGTTCTCTAGTGCCTCCTTTTGAGTTACTGTTGATTTTGCATTTTGTTATTATTCCCTCCCTTAATCATTAAAGGACAGTTTTTGTTAAAACCTTTGGTTCTGCCTTTTGGGTCCACCTGCTCCCTCACCCTCTCTCTCCAAAACGTAACACTCAGGTCTCAGTCGTTACTTTGAAGAGGACATTGTTTCGATGCCTACTTAAAATGACAAAAACTATGAACCCAAATAAAACACGTTTTTTTCTATGTGTGATAAAGACGCACGGATACATGTTAAGTCTATGTATGTGTGATTGAATGAAAACATAGTACTGGGAGTAATTTCCTTTAAATCAGAGTACTCACCATCAGCTAGGTAACTAGGCTCCAAGGGAACTGCAGTATGGGCCTGGAGAGAAACAGATAGAAACAGACATGAACACAATAATGTTCTCAAGTCGCTATGGCAACAAAGCACACGTGTCAATAAAGTAGCACTACAGGGGAATTGGAGACACATGTACACACACACGCACACGCACATACAAAGGAAACCTTGCCAACCAGCAGAGAGCCACAATTAGCTGAACAAGTGAACAATTGCTATAACTCACATATGTGCATGAAAAACCTGGAGCCAAACTGAAAATGTTGATTCATAGCAAAACCAACAAATGAATGAATTTCTCTCGACCAAATATAAATGAAAGACAAACGAATTAAGAAAAAAACCTCACTGATTTGATTGAACTGTTTTACAGAGGGAAACCAAAATCTGGCAGAAACTTCGAGTCAAGTATGCATGGGTCTAAATGAAGAATATAAATGATGAGGAGAGTTTGGAGTCCTTAAGGATTTGATCATTCTTATGAGAGCAATAATGACAGAGGAAGGTTTTAGCCATGACTGACGATGGCTGAAGGGGACACTGTGGTGTCAGCGGGTGTACTGTTGGAGAAGCCGTACCTCAAGTGGTTTTGCGCCTCAGAATATTAAAACAATTAAATTATTGGTACTCAATTATTTTAATTGAATACAATATAGGTGGCGTAGCAATCTGAATTGCCATCGTACAACAACGTTCAGCCTTTCTGTTATGAGTGTGCATGTTCTGTGAGCCTGAAAGAAAAGTGAGATGTTGGTATATGGGAACAGTCCGTCAGGTTTACAGAGGCTGGTCTCTGTGAACAGGTTGTATTGTTAAGTAGATAACATATAAGGGTTTTGCCATTTAATTTTTATTTTCATTCTTTAAATTATCGGATGAAGGATATAAAAGTTATCAAAGCCCCTACACAATTGTGGTTCACCCACACAGTTGTTTTCATTTGCGTGACTAATTAGACATCTGCTGCCTTGAAATGGCGACGCGCCGTGTACACAAGAAGACGCAATTAACCACTTGAACGCCAAGTACACTTTGTACCCAACCTCCCAAGTTGTATCTGCAGGCTCGTGAGTTCCATTTAAAGCAGCAGTCCTCTCAGAAATATGTGGGTGTGTGGCACTGCTTGTGGCAACAGAACATAGTTAGGGTTTGACGTCCGGCTTTGACTTTCACTTCTCCAGATTGCATAGATAAAACGGGGAGTGATAAGTAAATATTTTCTATTCCTGTGTCGGAGCTGACAGGTCGATGCTGGAGGTGCAGAATCAACAGGCAGCAATATGTCTCAATGGGCTTCTGGCTTCATTATCGCCTGGGTTGATGAACATTGAGAGAACGTGCATACTGCATGGCATGGACGGGCAGGAGATGGTGAGGCGAGGGGAGGGATGAAGGGGGTCGAAGAAAGAGATGAAGGGGGTCGACGAATGAAGTTGTGAGAGAACCCGTAGGTTGAGACTCAGGGGGCTTGGGGCTGCTCTTGCACCTGAAAGTGAGACGGTAGGCACCTCTCCACATGTGGTAACATGTTATATTCTGAGATCGGATTGTTATACTGGAGGCTCATCTTTCTTTTCACTTGTTTGGACCAATGAGGACCTCTGTTTGGACATTTCTCAGCTGTAGAAGATTCGATGAGCCATTAGTTGATGGAGGCTTTTTTTAAAGGAGAAAAGGAGACTTTTGTTCTAAGGGCCAATATGGCTATACAGGTTTTAAGTGTTATAAGCATAGCAGTGAAAATCAGTACTCTGCTCATTAACCCCTGTGGTAACCCACGGAGTCTGTACAGTGGTTAGCCCAGCACAAAGCCCTTTGGTACTCCTAATGGAATGTCTGTTCTGAGAATTTTGGAAATGAGACAAATCAGTTGCGGTGTGTCAGGTAGAACTGAAACTATGTGTGCCCATACACACACACACACACACAGCATTTTTACCATTTCCCATGCGGCAGGGTCATGTTTGAAGAGCGAGTGTGTTAGCTCCACAGACACTCTCTTCCTGTAGTCCGAACTCTTGTCCTCTGAAATTCGGAACAGCACTGCTGCAGCATAGGTGGCTACAGGGAGACAGTAACATCACAGCCATATAAGCATGATTCAGTTAGAAAGCAGATTTTTTTATATATGTATTTATTTTGCAGAAATGATGTACTGAAAGAAAACGTTTTAATAAAAGAACGGGAAAGTTAAATAAATATCAAGCTTCACTTTTAACAAACCTAAATATAAGAACAGAATGACTCCTTCTCACTAACAAATTCTGCTCCAGGTAAATCTATTAATAATAACAAAACAGTGTAGCACTATTGTGCAGATAGTGTCGAAGCTCTTTATGAGCTGGATTTTCCAATTTCACTCACTATGACTTCCAGCAGATGGCAGTCACGATTCACCAGCTATATATATGCCTTCTCAGTCTCAGGAGCAGCCACACAGGTGTATGTTTCCAATAGTTATATGAAACTTAAAAGAGAAGAGTGCTCAACCAAAAAGTATGTGTTCTAAGTCTCTTCTCTTCTAAGCCTCTTTTAGTCTTTTATACCTCTAGTTTTTGATAAATCCAAAAAGTTTGATTTCAGGTCATGAGAATTAACACAATTTCTCAAAACTAAACAGCATTCAAATCTATAAATTGATAAAATGCAATTATGTGTTGCATAATACTGGATACAAGGGACGTACCTATTCCTTCGTTGCTGGAGTGTAGCAGCTCCATGAGTGGTGCTGATGCTCCCTCTGCATCAATGAGCTCTGCAGACTGTTTGTCCAGAGCCAACTCACACAGGACGCCCGCAGACACTCGTTTCACATTCTCCACATAGGAGTACAGCAGCTAGGCGCACACACACACACACACACACACACACACACACACAGTGAATGCATTTTTAAACAGATTTCTTTCCTTAAACAACCATATGGAAATGCAAATTTCGTGTTGCCTGGCTAGTGACGTGAAATTTGTGGATTGCGAAGCAAAGCAATAGACGCAAAGATGCAATATTCGCATCATTTGCTTGCCAGGGCGAGGCCACACACTGTTACATCCACTGTCAGCCAACACACAGATAGCCCTGATACCTGTCCAGTTCAATATTTCTCAGTCAGAGCGATAGAGTAATAGAGTGATATCCTGCGGCTCCCCAACTCTACGGACGATATGATTATATGAATGATGGATGGATGGAAGTGCAATAGTTAATGCTTCCGAATTATGTGTATGTGGAGCTTTGCTCCATAGTTCCAAAACCATTCACTGAGATCCGTGGACAGCAGTGGCAGAAAAGCAACAACTCAAGCTGAGCATGATGCTCGTTCAAACCACAATGCTTGAACTCTGGCAGTCGTGGTAATAGTATGCAGGAAATGTTGTATAGTCTTGTTACTTAAATGTGCTAGAAATGTGGCTAAAGGAATGACTATGCTGGTTCACGATATAGGATTAATATGAAACTAGGATGGGCCCTAAACTGATCCCTGCGACTAATACCCCAACTTACCTCTAGTGCCATTATCCACTGGCAGAAGGCGGAGTGTGTGTGAGGGTGGAAACGAGCTGACTCCTCACTTCCATGGTGCTGATATCACATCAGCAGCCTAGCATTGTCTCATATGCATTTTGAGTTTACCTGTACAAACAGTGGTATGGTTTGCATGCTGGCGATCTCTCCTCTGTTAATTGGGTCTCTGGCTAGAATGTGGAGGGCTCCTGTGCAGCCCTCGACTATTTCCTCCATGCGAACGCCATCCTGGAAACAGAGAGTGACAGAAAGGCAGAGGCAGAGATGTCGAAGAGAGAAAATAACAAGTTAATTACCAGTTACCGTTCATGAATCTGCTACATTCAGACTGAAATTCTTCTTTTTGACATTTTCACTTTTCCACATGTAGAATTAAACATGCAGCCTAATGGCAACTTTATGGCTACAGATCAAACCTCACCCACATGCACCTCTTCATGGGCACATAGTTCAAAAGAGTGATTAATGATAACTTTGTGTAAAGAGTGTTTTCGGAGCCTGATCTGACAAAGTCAGTATAGAGGAAAACCTGACAGGAAACAAAACAGAGATTTACGTACAAAACACAAGATACTAACGTTTTGGCCTAATGGTGTTAATGTATTGTCACTGTAACTCTGGTTTTCTATTCTACTCACAGCCTCACCCACTGTATTCATTATGGTAAATGGTAAATGCTCTGTATTTATATATTGCTTTTCTAGTCTGGATGACCACTCAAAGCTCTTTACAGTACATGTATCATGATGCGGTCAAAAGACTCTTCTCTGTCCCTCCTGATTGAAAACTAACAAAATATTGTTCTTTAGTTATTTGATTCGATTTCTGTCTAATCTAAACATATTTAAATCGATGTGGAGGAATTATCCTCAGTCTCACATAGAAGTGAAGTGATCTACTATTGTCAAAACATCCACAACAATGATTGTGTTTCCCTTTCACATAGTTTAATTCAAGAGTTTAGCCATCAGTATCACCATGGCATCATCATTACCAGTTAAATCAGTACGCAGTCACATCAGTCACTTCCTTCCGTTCATACATTCCCGTCTGCTGCAGGTTAAAAACGTAAATAATCTTATCTGCAGCAGAATGTTCACACAGTGATTGCTTGTGTGGCTTTCTGTTACCTCCTTTGGCTCATGGCTGAGCTGACAGGTGAATATTTATTTATGTGTGTGTGTGTGTGTGTGTGTGTGTGTGTGTGTGTGTGTGTGTGCTCCAGACCTGGTATGTCTGCTGCGTGGAGGAGGCGTGTCTCTGTGTGTCCTGGTGAGCCTTTAGTAGCAGGTTGACCAATCGAGGAATAGCACCTGCCTCCCTCAGTGGCGCTTGATTGGCCGGGCACAGTGCCAGGTTCCGGATCAAACCAACTGTGGCCTGAGGAGAAAAGAAGGATCAAAGAGCTTTCTCAACAGGATGTTCCGTGCTGTATGTGGGTCAGCTTTAAAGGCAACATTAGATGTGGCCCTCCAAACGGCAGCGCTGCCTCCTGTTTTGGAACATCCAGCAAACTGCACTCATGTTTACCAACCAGAATGTGATACTTTATATGAAAGGAAAGCCCAGGGAGGAGAGGGAAAAGATCCAACACTTTTCTATGGAGGGACAGCTCACCCGCTGCCTGGGAGACAGCTGGGTCCACTCCCAGCATATGGGCTGCCTCACTGCTACACCAGCAAAGTGTTCAGAAAAGTTCAGATTTTATAGATTATATAACCCTGCAAATATTTGCAACTTTACTGAACATACTTCTTCTTACTCATCCTCAGTCTCAGTCTCCTTTGTTTATAGATGTTTGCTGAAAACACATCTACATTAAATCAGCATATTTACATTGTGTCATACATGAATCTCATGTTGCATATACCCATGATGTTCTGGATTTTGTTCATTGCATCTTTTATGCACACTCATTTTGGATATTTTTTTATGTTGTTCATTATGATTCTATTATTTTTACAGATATTTTATAAACTGACTTGACAAAATGTCTCAATGTAAATTGGGTAAGTAAGGTGTATTGTTGGGTTGTTGGTGGAAGTAGATTTACACTCTATACTGGAGACTATAAAACGTTCAAGACATCATGTTTGTATGTTTAAATCTCTTTAAAAGGTATGTACAATAATAATGTGAGGTGTAACATGTAATGTTTGGTTTTTGTGACCAGTCTTGCTCTCTGTGACCAGCAAGGTCACTATTTGAGGAAACATGGTAGTTATGTTTCCTACATTTTAAACACCAGCTGTGCAGGTTTTGTGTGAAAAAAAAACCAGTGTTTGTGTTATTGAGTTACATTTATTGTTTGTATTTGGCTGCTTTTACTTTTAGTTCTCCAGTGACACTAATATATCAAAGCCAATGTTGTGACTTTGGATCAGCAGCTGCAGCAGTTCAATGATGCCTTAATTCCAAACACCAAAGTGATTTAATAGCTTTCGGCCCAAATCCTGTGCAATACGTGCTTATAGTGTCAGTGACGTTGTTGTTGATGAGTTTTGATGTCCACTCCGCAGCAGGAGTGGTGGTGTCATCTCTCAGAGTTTATGAGTCCATTGAAACAAATATTGTTATCTGTGGTATCTGAACCAAAACTCACCAAAAGGTAGGACATTATTGTCAATATCTGGTCCTGGTATTGAACGTGTAAAGTTCCAATTCTACGCTGAAGATCGATGAATAAACATAGGGCTGAAAATTGAATGGTTCATTATCATGACATGACATCTGAGGATAAAAAAAAAACATTCCGGTTTCCTTCACTGCTTTTCTCTCTCTCTCTCTCCACCTCTTTTATAAAGTCACATTCTCCATTTCTCTATTCCACATCATTAAACACCAATACCTCACCTCCTTAATATAATGTGTTGGCAGGGCTGTCTGACTGAGTGGGAGGAATGTCTGTGTGTGTGTGTGTGTGCGTGTATCATTTCCCACTCTAATCCCACTTTAATGGGAACAAGCTGCAAAAGGTCAGTGGTTCAATTCCCAGCTCTTTCACTTCACGTGCTGAAGGAGACTGAACCCCAAATTGCTTCTTCTAATTTTAGTCTGGCAATGTGAAGGGAGTTAATTCTCTTTTTTAGTGAATAAACACCATCCCACAGATACAAAATGAATCTGGAATCAGTGGAATCAGTGAATCAATATCTACCTACCAATTGCTCTCGCGAACCGTTCATTTTATTGGCTTCACATTTGGCATGTCTATTGTTGAGTGCCAAATTTGATGGGATTTGGACATGTGATATGTTCAATATTTACATAAAGACAAAGACAGACATTCATGAGAGTAGCAGGAGCCTAACTCACGACATTCATCTAATCACTCCCTGTTTGCCAATTTGTCTTCACCTTTATTTTGTTGTTGCATTGCTTTTTATCAAGCTAAATTACAGAGATTTTATTTTGAAAAGATAAACACAAACTTTTCTAACTTTACTGGGCACCGTAGACTGTATAGAAAAAGCCCTGCATCCTATGTCCAGCACGCAAACAATACAAATGCAGGATTGTCTGTTTGAGGAGGGCTCATTAATGAGAAGGGTTCATTCTGAAGTAGCGCCGCAGTATTAACACAGGCAACGCAAACAGTCCATCCCAAACAGGCATGTTTAGAACAGGTCCTGCACTATTAAAGAAACTACATCCAGTTCCTCTTGTTCTGCCGAAATTGTGTCAGTCAGCCTGGTAAAGAGCCAGAAACTGCTGACAGGCAGCGTCTGAGACTTGTGTCTGGATTTCATTGACTGAATGCTACAGTTACACTTAGAGAAGAAACGCCAAGATACGCTCTCCTCTGTCAGTGTCTACTCAGGATGCTTTCAGCCACAGTACCGCTGTGGGCTCAGGCACTGTTTAGCAAAAACAGTTGATGTTTCGTGTTAAAGATGGGGGTGCAGCTACTGGACATATACATATCTAAAGAATTCATTCTGAAGCATATTTGTAATGTCAGATATGCGTAAGATGGACAATCAGGAAAATGAAACAGAAACATTGGTTGAATTAATGTAATGGCCAAGTACACAAATGTTTTTCAAAGGCATCAGGTTATTAAAATATTATAATTAAAATGATTCTGTTAGTACACTACAGGCTAAATTAAATTGTATCTATGTTGCACATTTCCTCTTATACTTTTGCATTGTATATTATCAAACCTCTACAAGATCCTTGCAGGGCTTCAGACTTCAAGTCTTGTTCATTTTACTTGGGTTAAAAACAACCAGATGTATCTGGAGCTTCCAGCCTGTGTCTCTCTAGCTGTCTGTCAGTGTGTCTCTCCAGGGACCAGCTGAGGTGGTCTGAGAGTGGAGCATGATGAGGGTTGTGTATTTATGGTGTGCTGCGTGACAAAGCATGTCTTTGAGTGCTGTTCGGGCTGTTTTGCCTATAAAATATTTTACACTCCGAGATATATGAGAGAACAAAACAGTGCCTTCCTCACCTTTACTACCGGCCAGTAGTGTGGCTGCCCCAGCAGCTTGACGACAGCAGGGATACCGTAGTGCAGACGCACAGCATTCTGGGCCAGCTCTGCATCTTGGTGCCGGGATGTGAGGTGACGCAGGGCACAGACCGCCGGCTCAGCAACATCCTCCTTCTCCCCTGCTCGAAGCACAGCATGGATCAGTGCTTCCACACCGCCATACTGAGTCACGAGAGTCTGAGGAATAAGGAGAAGAAGAAGTAAAGACCGTCTTATGTAAAATGCAGCAGAAGGGCTGTGAGGGTTCATTGACATGGATGGCACATAAATTCATGTTTTAAAACACGGATGAGAAGACAAATATATCTTAATGGTGTGTGTGTGTGTGTGTGTGTGTGTGTGTGTGTGTGTGTGTCGAGACGATAAAGTCCTTACGAGGACAAAAGGGAAAGCTGAGGTTAGCTGTAAATCATTACCTTAAAAGCTGATGACATGTTTAAAGGGTTGGTGTTGTCATGTATATGTCATGTGTTATGTTGAATGTAATGCGCCCTGAAGTGAAGTACAAACAGATGCATGTCGTGACTGTTATCTGTATCGGAAACACTGAAAACTTTATTCAAGCCTCAGACCATTATAAACTAAACATCACAACAAAACAATACATTGGTAAGTCAACTGTCTAAAGCTATTTCAAGAGCAGGAGGACTTTTAGTCTGCACAGATTATTTATTACTTCAGAGTTGAGTGTTTGTGAATAATTAAAGTATCAGTAAAAGCACTGATGCAGCTGATGCCTCTATTGATGAGCTGTAGTTGCGGTTATAAAGTACTTGCTTGTCAAAATACCTCAGTGCAGATTTTTCCCAAAATAAGTCGGAGGTTTAACGCCCATGCTTTCAAATTAAATAAATAATTCTGGTTACCTTGTTGCGTGAATTGTTACAGGTGAGGTTGGACAGGATGCCAGTTGCACAGGTCAACATGTTGACATCATCTGAGCCCAGCTGGGTGACTAATATCTGCAGCAGACCATCTAACCCCTCCTTCAAAAAGAGACCAGAAAGTAGGTATAAACAGAAAGCATAACAATGCAATCAGTTTATTCCTGTGATTTCTCAGATGACAAAAATCTGTGAGAGAAATATACAGTCATCAAAAGTCATGACAACCTTATCGTGAGCTCTTGCAAAGTGTACTAGTTTTCTTATACCTGGTATATACTGCAGAGGGATATAGTGAACAGTATGAAATAATTTTGTTTCCAGAGCAGAACCTTTCAATTGTGTATTGAAGTCATGCTTTTGATATTAAGAGTGTTTTTCTGCAGTTCCATGCCAAAGACTTTGACCTTGCCAAATTGAGAGTTGGTTTTGTTTCCGATTAAAATTCAAAACAAATTTCAGATTTTGTTCAACAAACTTTAGGTAATCTTAATCAGGTAAAGTGATAAAGGCTTAAAACATGGTGTAATTAGCCAATCTAGAGAGAGGAGGATTACTGCTTGAGAATCGTGAGAACGGTGAGATCTAACATGGCAGCACCCTGTCTCCAGCAGTAGGCAGCAAGACCACAGACAACAACGCGGAGGAATACTAAACTTCCAAAATTACTGTACGGGTCATTTTGTGTTATTTCTTTTTCCTTGTGCGAACGAGACTACTAACACAGTGGATTTATTGGAGTTGTAATTCATCGACCATTACTACTACCAACAGGACAATGTGGACACTGTCAAAGACAACGCACTCACCCCATCAGCCAAAGGGAAAGAAATCAACTCATCTACAGAGACAGATGATCTTGAAACGATTGAGGTTGAGGTCAGTATTCTCTCTTCTAACAATTAAAAAAACAAGAATTTGCCCACAACCACACAGCATCCATCGATGAAATAAACCAGACAAATTGAAACACTCACTAAAGAAAAACAAATCAATAATGGAAACTAAACTGGACTTACAAACAAGCAGTAAGCGCAAAAAATCTAATCTTCTCCGGCATTCCTGAAACTACACCCGACAACCCCGAGACAAAGATCAGGGACTTCATGAAAGCACACCTCAAACTATTTCCGGACACTGTCAACAGCATCACCTTCCATCGAGCAAAAGGCATCGGCACAGCATCCTCCAGAGGACCCCGGTCAATCATCGCAAAGTTTGAACATTTCCAACGAAAACAACTGGTCAAGAGTAAAGGCACAAAAGGAAATGTGAAATAAATGAATGCCACAAAGTACTGTATCCATTTATAAAAGACAACGGAAAAAACAAGTGTGCATACTTGGTGGTTGACTTTACATTGACGGAGACTCTTGGCTCTTCTGAACACTCCATAAACATGACCAAAAAAACAGCATACACCTGTAAACCTCTCCTCAACTCTCTTCTTTTCTGTAACTCCTTAACAATCTTTTGTCATTCCTCTTCTCTTTCTCCCCTCCCACTACACAATCATTACACACACACGCACACAAAGACTGTTGCTCCCTATACAGATGAACACACACACCAATCCCCCCCTACTCCCATTCCTCATGCCTCTCCTGTCCCTCCTTGTCTTTATCCTCTGTTTGTTTTCCTCTGTTTGTTCATCGTGACCTCACACCAGTGCACCTTCATGTTTTGTCTATGCAGTTGTGCGTCACTATATTGTTTTCCCATAATAAGACAGATGTGTTGTCAGTAAGATGTATACACCCCCACACATGCGCAAACAAATCAATCACACACATACATTCAACTCTTACATGACACTTGACTTAATAACTTAAGACAAACAGGTGTATCCATTTTAATTGAGAAAAGAATCCCATTAATCCTCCGTTTCACAACCGCTGATGCTAAAGGACGATAAATCATTCACTGCATTAATTAATGACAAAAAAATGCAATATAGCCAACACATACGGCCCTGACAGCCACGATCCATCTTATTTGACACATTCTTCTCTACTCTACAAGAAGCAACAGATATCATAATTGGTGAAGACTTCAAAACGGTAATCAAACCCACAATCTTCCGTTCAAGTGCACCTGGTAATCAAAGAAACTGGCACTCGACAGAATTATTAAAACAATACATGAGAGATTTTCGTCTTGGCGACAGTTGGAGAATAAGAAACCCATCATCTCGAGAATATTCATATTTTTCTCCACAACACCAATCATTCTCCGAAGGATTCTCTCTTCTTTATGATCAGTAATACATTTATAACCAAAGTATCTAAAACCATCATACATCCAATCATCATTAGCGACCATGTACCAGTATCCCTTACCCTAAATATTAACTCCAACACTAAAAAACATTCTCTGTGCTGGTGCTTCAGTACCTCATTATTTAACGACCCAGATTTGACTACTTTTCAACAGAGAGAGTGGACATCCTTTATGGAACTGAACAGCTTCCTAGAGATTCCGTCATCAATACTCCTTTCTTGTTTTCAATTGACCCAAATAAGATGCAGATAACCTGGACGCCCCATTAACAAACTACGCAAAGCATTACTTCAGATGCCAAATGAATCACCAGGACCCGATGGCTTCCCACCGGAATTTTATATACATTTCTGATACATACTATCCTCACTTTTCTACGGACTAGAAGTAGAAAGAAAACACAGCACAAATGTTTACATCCATCATATCGATTCTACCTTAACTGAATAAAGATCCGACTCAATTTACCAGCTACCACCCTTTGACTTTAATGAAAACAGACTAAAAAATCATTACAAAAGCATTAGCCATCAGATTAGAAACAATAATTTCCACTTTAATACACCTCAATCAAACAGGTTTCATTATTATCTTAAAACAGAAAGCCAAAAACTCAATAGATACCATCCACTGGACCAAACTCTTTTTAGAATACATATCTATGGACAAATCACCACCCACAATATCACCAATATGAAAGACTTTATGGAAACATGGTCCCCAATTATGTCTTTGACGGGACTAAGCTAGTGCCGCACACATTCCCACACACACATCATATCCCGAAACACAAATCAACCTGGATACACACAGCCATGACACATCCCACCACACACACGTCTCTCTATAGTCTTGAGGACACTGGTGGACATAATGCATCCCCATACCCCTGCACCCTGACCCTAACCAACATTACAAAATGCCTAACCCTAACTGAAACTGCATTCCTTCTACCTACTTGAATTTATAAGGACCAACCAAAATGATGTGGCATATAACCAAACTGGGTTGGCGGGGGAGGGGGGGGAGGCAGGTTTGGCTGCGGCTCACCTCGCCGGTCGCCTGGTCAGGTGCCAAACCTCATGACTGAAGAGATGTGATATATTAATTATTATGATGGTTTTCAGCATACTATATTATAATATATTATTAGATTATTATATTGTACTATATTATAGGGTATATTCAGGTATTTTATGAGGTGTTTGTATTCATTTTAATGTTATTCTATTATTATACATTTTATATATACTTTTATTATTGTTTTGGTCACATATATAAAAAACATGTCATTTTTTTACTACTACAGTCAAACACCACATCCTTTTGTCTCTTTGCTCCGCGCTCCTCACTTCAGGCCACAGCTTGTCCAAACCAATTAAACATGGACGGGGTCCATTTTTTGGTGAACGATCCCTTTAACGGTCACTTTATTCAAATTCAAAATTCAAAAGACTTTATTGTCATTGCACGGTCGTACTTCATACACTAGCCCAATGAAATTGTGGCACAGTCCTCCTCCTTGATGCCAAACATACAATTAACAAGACACAAACCACTTCACAAATTGAAATACAAATAGGGGGATTCCGGGACTAAAGGCATTTAACGAAGTGGATGTACTATACAAAAAAGAATAATTGTACTGATACATGCAGATAATATGCATATTTGGAGAAGTGCAAACTGTGCAGAATAAACACTATATACTATATACCGATAATGTACCGATATATCTGGATAATCTGGGTAATATATAAAGTCTTTTATTGAAAGGACACAGTTGAATTGTTCATAACTAAATGACATAACAACGGTCAATGGAAACCAAAATCATCAACATATTGAGGGCTGGTTTCCAATCCACACCGAAAATCAAAGTAAATGGTAAATGGTCTGTATTTATATAAGCTTTCTTAGTCTTGATGACCACTCAAAGCACTTTCAGATTTTACTTTGAAAAGTTGTGAACTTGATACTGAAAGATACTGTTTACCAGACCTCCGAATTAACTGAAATGCAATGTATGAAAAAGTTTCAACAATTCAGCACTTACATATTAGCCGTACATGTGAGAAACCATTACACTTTATAAAAACATTGACTATAAAAACTTCATGCAGATAAACCAGATATGATAACTTTCCGAACTTCACTCTGAATCATAGACTGTATATTAACAGCTCAGCATACAAATGAATAAGTGACAGTATATTATAGAACTGTTTGAGGAGAACTCACTAATGACAGGGAATCATTCTGAAGTAGCTCCAGAGCATAATCAATGGCCAAAACAATCTGCCTGTCCCACACAGGCCGGTTTATTACAGGCACTGCACTGGTTCTAGAAATTGTGTGTGATAAAAATGTTGCTTGTCTTTAAACAGGGACACAGTTCTTTGCTGTGTTTGGCTAAACACGAGTCCTGCTTTAGTAAATTATGTTTACCAATCTGTTCCATTCCTTCCCCTGAGAGTACTCAGAAATTGAATTTTCTACCACCCCCTAAGCTGTGCTCATATTTACAGTAGCTCCAGAATCTCACCATCAATGCAGGCTGAGGAAAATACAAACAGAAGCAGCACTTGTGACACAAGGTCTTTACAGCGGCCTACTGGGATGTCTCCATGCAGGGAGAGAATGTGATAAAATCACTACTTGTCAGGAGCACTGATGTATAACATTGTGAGGTGGGCGGCTGCATAAAGGACTGGTCTGTCGTGCAAAGATAGAGCAGGAAATCCTATGGTGTAGTGGCACTGGTAGTGGTTGTAGGAGCATTCAGTACAGCAATACGTGCCTGTTTAGTCGCAGCATCTGACAGGTTGCGGAGTGTCCACAGACAGTTCTGGATCAGACGCTGACTTGAACCTGTAAGGTGTTGGCCCAAAGCTTGCATTCCACCTGGACACGGATGTGAAAATACAGTTACAGACTTTACAAACATCTATACATCAGCATTTGCACTCATGTTCAGTGATGTGAACATACCAGCCTCCACTATGGCTGGCTTGTTGCTGGGACACACAGACAGTACTTTGAGAACACGACTAGTGGTCCATAGTAGCTTCTCATAGTTGTAGTTCCTCATGATGAACACCAGGCCCTCTGGGCCTCCATTGGCAAGGATGATAAGCTGACAAGAAACAGGAAGTAGGAAGTGTACTTATGTTATAAAAGGTGGACACAACATGGGTTTCCTTCAAGTGTTAAAGGTTCAGTGTGTAAGATTTATGTGAAAGGGAAGTTTTAGCAGAAATTTCATGTAGAATAATTCTCATGATGTTTTCACTAGTTCATTTCATCTAAATTGTATGAATTGTAGTTTTCTTTACCCCAGAAAAGACCCTTTATATTTAAATACTTTATATTTACATGGAGGGGACCCTCTCTACGGAGGCCGCCATGTTTTGTACATTAGTCCAGACTAAACAAACTAAAAACCTTTTGAGTTTTTATGACAACTGAAGCTACCACAGGTTCTTTTTCATGTTTGGAAGGAGAGGGTGAGGTGAGGGGTGTTCAGCTGCAACATGCAACTTCTACACTAGATATCACTAAATTCTACACACTGCACCTTTAAGGTCCTGTCCTCACCTTGCTCTCCTGGTTGCCGTAGGAAAGGAGCTGCAGACAGTCAGTGGTGATGGCCAGGAACTTGGGATTGCTCTTTTTTAGTAAGGGAACCATTCTTTGCAGGCCATCAGCCAGACGCACCGCCATCTTGGCCCCCTCTTGGTGGAGCAGCAGGTTGTGGAGGGTGGTGATGGCGTAAAACAAGACTGATTCCACTGGTGAACTGAAACAGAGGAGAGAGAGAGAGAGAGAGAGAGAGAGAACGAGAGAGAGAAACTAAGTGAATAAGAATAAAACTTATTTGGCAAAATAGACCTAAAACCATGGAAATTTCCATAACAGTAGGAGGGGAAAAAACCTTTTTGGTATTGACACTATGGAAGTCTTGCACCATGTAATTTGTATTCAATCAAAGGTTTCTGTTTGATCAATTGACCATTTTGTGTTAGGTTGTGTTTTAAAGCTAAGGTCAGCTAGTAACTAATATCCCATCTAAACCTGACATTAAAATGTGTCTTTGGTGATTGGACTGTGATCAGATTAAGGTTGACCACATGCCAGTAGGTGTAAATGCACCCAAAATAGATTTAGGATTCGTTTAGATCTGAATGGCTAAACCACCACCGGGTGGTCAGGGACACATTGTGACCATACTGAATACAAATTCAGTAATGTGGTTTTAGTGGAAGTGCTATAGAAGAAAAACAAAGGGTGAATTGCAAAAGTCTTGATTACATTTGCTTTTGTTTCTGCTCTTTAAATGCCGTGGGCATGCTAAATTCACTTTAGTTTAATTTGGCTCATGTCTGTGTGTCTACATAAAAATGAGAAACACCCAAAGCATCAGATATGTAGAAATAAAATAAAAAGAATGACAAGAACAAACAACAAGTAAAAAGGCTTCATTATGTAGGAGGTTGCAGAAAGTGGCAAAGAACAAATGCAAATGTACTCAAAAATCAAAGAGGTGGAGACAAAGTGTGGGAGTGGGCATTAACAGGCAGAGGTAAATAGGAACAGAGGGAGAAAACGTTGATAGCATTAATACAAGTCACGCACACTAACCTAGCTGGTCTCTGTGAAGCACTTTTAGGTTTACCGTATTCAATTCTTTCAATTTCTGTGTGAATTAAGCTCCAAATCAATTAGTGGTATGATTTATTCTGTTCTGTTAAGCCCCTGTGTAAGGGATTAACTCTGCCTGCCCGCGGGTTGCAAAGGCCCTAAATTTAGCATTTAAAGTGAAGGCATGACTGTTAGCCTCATTTGTTACAGTTTTCAGATGACCTCTTATTAGCATATTGGAAGCTGAAAGCTTTCAATAGTTTACCATTGACTTTACAAAAAGTTTTACATTTCTCCCTCACTTTGATCCTCCATTTACTTTGATCAGCAACACAACTCTGCACATGTTGAGAGCTTGGCTTTATTTACTGTCTCCTTCCATCATACCTGTGGCTAACTAAAAATACAATGTACTACTGGGTCAAAAGAATCTGCTTGTACAGACGACCTATGGGGAGGAGATCTCTTTTTTTTTGGTTCTAAAAATATATTTTCACACCTAAAGAAATAATTTCGTGTATTTTTTTGTATGTATATATAATCATTATAGTTCAATATAACAATTCTGAACCAGATTATCAGATGAATTTACAGCACCCTTCAGCATTACAAAGCATTCAATTAGTTTCAGCACTTGTTTTATCTGCACTAACGTTCTCTGTGCTCATCTTCCTTTTTAACTGCACTCATCAGGTAACCAGGAGCATCCCCAAACATGAATAATAATGCTGTTGATGTTGTGTTTAGAACATATTTACTACCCCCATAACCAAATATCTATTTTGGTTTAAGTATTGAAGCCATTCGCTCGTATATTCAAACTACTTCCTCACTTTCTACTTCGATACCTACTGCTGCCATTCTAGTTGTATGTAAACACACAGTTTTATATGCTTTATGCATTATATTTGTATAATATAATTTGGGGTCACCATAGTTTTTCCAAATACTAACATATAATTAAAGGTCCAGTGTGTAAGATTTAGGTGAAAGGGATCTATAGGCAGAAATTTGATGTAGAATAATCCTCATGATGTTTTCACTAGTTCATTTCATCTAAATTGTATGAATTGTAGTTTTCTTTACCCCAGAAAAGACCCTTTATATTTAAATACCTTATATTTACATGGAGGGGTTCTGCTCTACAGAGGCCGCCATCTTTTTTACATTTGTCCAGACTGGACAAACTATACATTTGTTTCAGTTTTTATGACAACTGAAGCTACCACAGGTTCTCTTTCATGTTGAAGGAGAGGGTGAGGTGAGGTGAGGGGTGTTCAGCTGCAACATGCAACTTCGACACTAGATATCACAAAATTATACACACTGTACCTTTAAATACCTAATAATTATATATTATTATATATATCATTTACATGTTTAATTTGGTCATAATTATTCAATATTGATTGGTTTTCCCACTTTCTCTGTAGGCTTAGTAGACAATGTGGCATACACATGTGGTTAGGTTGTGAAATTGCAGTATAAGGTCCATGAAGGCAATGTTAAGTGTTGTATGCTGATGATGGTGTCCTGTCACCAGTGTTAGAACATGTCTTATATTAACTGATATGGAGATTTTGAATAAATGAAAAGTCAAATAAAAGTGAATTAGATTTTTCCATATTAGCCCATGATTATTTTAGTTTGATAAGCCCCAACATTATTTTGTCCTGATTACCAAATTTTTTGATTTGATTTGTCATCTCAATGAAGTATATCTACCTCAGCATGCGGACCAGTGCTGGTATCCCTCCAGACTTAAATATGGCCAGTAGCCCCTCCCTCTGGTGTGACAAGCTGTGGAGCACACTGGCTGCACAACGGGCTGTCTCCATGTCCACTGCTGCTGTCATGGCGCGCACCACTGCACCCACCATGGTCGGGGACTGTACTAGCACCCGCCGACTTGCCTCCTTTCGGGTCAGCTGATTGACTATCATGGCCGCCTTGTTCACCACAACCTAAATGTGTGAGACAATAAAGTGGTGAGCTTAAATATGTGGGTATGTAGAATTGTGGTACAAGTGAGATAGTTGTGGCAGTGTACCGGATCCTCATCTGCCAGCAGCTTGGTGAGCTCTGGCACTGCCCTTGTCGCCAACTCAGCATCATCCTGGTAGTTTATCAGGTGGACGATTGCTGTCTTTAGCAGCTGAGAGGGCTCAGCCAGTCGTTGCACGTTGCTCTGCTGTGACGGATCAGATTGGAGTGGCATGGCTGCCTCCCCCTCCACCAGGGTCTCTGGGAACATTGCGGCCCTGACGCGCTGAGCCCGCGTTAGCGAGTACTGAGCTTCTAGATCTGTCAGAGGGAAAGGGAGACAAAGAGAGAGAGAGAATCAAAGAGTGAGAGACAGTCAGTTCTTTTTTGTTACTACATCAGTTAGTTTACAGGAAAAAAAATACTCTGGACTGTTAAGAGATGAAGTTTGATGTGTGGCTCACTAGTCAACATTCAAATTTTTTGAATTTGGTTTAATCTAGACTAAACAAACTGCATCTGCCTCAGGAGCAGCAGTAACTTTAAAAACGTTTACTATTCAGAAGTATCTTTTTTTTAAACTTTGTCTCCCGGAGTGTTAATATGTTTGTACAAACCATATTTAACATGCAACATTTCCACCCTGACCATCTCCTTCACGCTCGTTACAAACTAAAAGCAGAGGGGCTCCACTTGCATCACATCACAAAGAGATTATCACACATTACCTTCTTTTCTTTTGTGGCTATTAATAGTTAAAATAAGTTTAAACCCAAACAGTCGAGAAAACAAATTTGAAATACGGGATGTAATGCTGCAAATTAGGATAACAAGTTCTATTTATTGTTTTTAAGCTTTAAAGGTGATAAAGCTGTGGAATAATTGCTGAGATAAATTGAGAAGAATTCCTACATCTGCTACTGAACCTGGAGGGGAGGGTGACTTTTAGTACTTTCTAACTGGGTGGTAGATGATATGTCTTGTTGAGCCGCAGGTGTTATCATCATTAAAGATGATTGTAGTCAGCCTAAAGAGGAATATTTGTTTGATAGATGGCACAATGATCTCAGAGCTGGTATGAGACCTGATTACCCTCAGCCTTAGAGGGTGATAGTACTTGTGTCTGAAGAATGTTTCTCTGCCAGCAACACTGTGTACAGCAGTTTGTGTACTCAGGTCTGTGATTGATCCTAGAATTACACAGGACTCACACACGCGTTTGAGGCTTCAACTGTGAAAAGGAATTATTGTAAAGCATGATGGCAAAATATTTCCACTACACCATTTGTCCCATTTACACTTAAGTTTTTTATGTAGCATTGCAAACACACACTATCCCAGATGGGTTTGTCTTTTGTTGGTTACCATCAACATTTTTTAATTAAATCAAGATACAGACTATACTTGAGTATTGTCTCAATACAAACTATTAAAGCTATAAGTTTTAAAGATGCCATGAGCAGTGGGGAGAGGCATTATGTTTTGTTTATTGGTAACAGTTTGTTTTATATAATGATTATAAGAGTTTTGTGCTAGCTATGCATGCAATGCTAGACACTGTTTTTTCATATGAATGCTGCTAATGTTATTATTTTGTTGATATGCTCTCTTAATAAGTTTTTGGGTCGTTTTTCCTCACACTATAGTCCCGGTTTAGGAGGAGAGGCCTAAACCCTATGAGGGAAATTGTGATTATGGTCAATACAAATTTGATTGATCGGTTGAATGAGGCTTGTTAGTGTGTACTCAAATGTACCTGTACATTTTTCTAAGAACATGAGACACCTGACTGAAATATCTTCCTTCCTAACTTGTTTCTTCCACAAAAGAAGTATGGTCTGCAGACAGTGATGAGACAGAAACTGTGAGCCTATTGTTCCACTTGACAGAGATTGAAACAAACTGACTGACTGTTAACATTTTGATGTCTTTGAAGACAGAAAAATTCTTACACACAACCTCCTACACTGTCACTTAATCACTAAATCTTGGCACTGGATGACAATAGTGACATTATTCGATGTAGACATGACAGTCTATCTAAAAGCTTAAGGAGTGATTCATATTACGATTTATTCTATAAGTCATGTCCATTTAAAAACACAAATGTGATGCAATTTAAATTCCCTTTTTTGTTAATGTTCATGCAATATACTTTTGCTTTTTGTCATTTAAAGGAAAAAACATGAAAACATGGTCATTGATATTCCCTCAAGAATGGCAACATAAATGTAGAAGCTGTGGGTATTTCTGACAGCATGCTAAAAAGAGATGTTTGGTCCACAACGGCTCCAGCAGCCTGTATCAGTAGCAGACAGGGCTCAAGAAATTGAAGTTCTGGAATAAGTCTTTCCTCAGGGGGAAACAATGATTAGAAAGTGTCTGGGAAGCAAAGCAAATAGTCCCCTCTGTCTGGTACAGGGATCCTACAGGCTCACCTGTGTCCTCAAGCTTTAAAATAACGTATCATTCCGGATTCAACAAAGAGAAAAGAGTCAGAGGAAAGCCCAGCCGTCTTGGGTGATCCCACCACGACTTCAGACCATCCATGTGTGTTTTCTCTCCAAACTTGCAGGCTATGAGAATCTGTTCAGTTCCCAGGGGAGGGAAATGTTGTTTTCCCTTACATTTCTTATGCTTATACAATCTCCGGAATATTCTGTAGCATTACAGGTGCTTGGCCTTACAATTCATCCAAATATTTTTTAGCACAGCAACTACAGTACTTCTTCATTGAAACCTGTTTCTGTGTACTGAAGTATGTCGAGCCTCTTGACTGGTCAACCGAAGACAGACAAAGACAACCTTATCAGAAGGTTTAGACGGGAAAGTTATACACTACCACAATTGTTAGGGGCCACGGCTGCTTCATACTACTGATTAAAATCTGGTGCAGTGTTTTCTTCAGCTTAACCACTCCTCCACCATATGCACCTCAAGGGGATTCCTCCTGGACCACTGCCCTACACCGCCCACTGTCATTAGAATCAAGTATTCCCCAGTTCTAGCTGGGTCCTCCTCCAGTTTCGCTAGCTCCCAATTATGCACCTCTGTACTCGTTGCCGAGAGGATAACAAACCCTGTGCAATGTTGCCAGGGGTGGCTGTAATTGAATGTGATCACTCCGCCTCAGTGCCTCTCATTATCTATGTTAACTCGACTGTGTGTTTGTTAACGGTTGTTGACTTAATCTTACTGAAATTCGGTGAACATTAACTAGCGAGGCACTCGTTCTGTGATCCAAACGGTTCTTGTTGGACTATAGTTTAGTTCACTTCTTCTCTTTACTTCATTGTGCACCTAGCCAGACAGGATTTTCCTTTGCTCTTTTGTTGGGGACTGTCAATCAGAGGAGTAGGGACTGGCAAGGAAGGGATTTTGCCTTTTACTTGTTATATCATTTGGTGTCAGCCGCTGCCCCTCAGCCCATTGTTCCTTCAATGCTGGTCAGTATTGCTGTTGTGGATCTTAATTTGCACTACTACAATTAAAGGCTACTCTTTGGCACTTTGTTGCTTCCCTTACTCCCAAATGGTTACTGGGTTGTAACCACAATAATGCAGGTTTATGCTCATTAACTACAAGGGACTTTTCACACAATTCCTCCTAACACATTTTAAATGTCTCTATTTTCAGTCCATGAGTTAGTCTGTTCATTTCAATATGAATATAAATATTCCACCAACATATTGCTTTTAAAAAGACACAGTTCAATAGCTCTCACAGTGAGCAAACATCTGGTGATAGAGAAGAGGAAAAAAACTCCACAGAAAAAAAAAAACTTCAATAAAACCAGACTCAGGATAATTACATTACAATGCAAGTGTAGCAAGGCTGGTTTTGGTGTGTTCAAGGATGCACTTGAATCCTCTTGACACCTCCAGGCTAGTCTTTGTTCCACTAGCTCCAGTCACTCGGTGCATTGAGAGTTTCTTTCTTCTGTCTTTCTGAAATTTTTCCTGGATTGTTCAAGGCATATTTAGAGATAAATGATATCTAGTACAGCACTTTGCATTATTTTAGACGGATACTTCACAAAACGTTTTGCTAATGGCATAATTTGTAACACAGTAGTAAATTTGAATTCCTCTGTTAATGGGTTTATTTATTTCAATAATAAATAGGCATACACATGGACAACAAATATGCATGTGGTTCTGTTTATGCTACACTGGATATCTGTATACATAATGTTTGTAGGTATATGTGGGACATATAGTCATTCCAAAAAAGCAAAGGTAGGAAAACGTCTACATTGATGGTCAGGAAAATTGCAATTTGGTTTGGTTCTTTGATGAAACACTGCTTCTACTGTATAGTTTTACTTCCTATAAAGGGTATATGTAATTTACACCTTTCTTTAAGACAATTATGAGCTCGCTCATTGATCTAGGGGGTATTTAGGTCTTTTCTTATTAACAGAATCTCCCCCTATGTTATATATATATTACCTGCCCTAACGGGCCCTACTCACTCTCACAGCACATGACAGGAATCTTCAACCAGGGCTACATTCACAGAGTACAGCAATCACTGCTGAAGCAGAGACAACAGCCAGAAGTAAGCAAGCTCGTCAAAGAAAAGTCTGCTTCTAGCAGTGCACGTTCGTATGGGCGTGTGCTGATAATACTCAGATCTATTCACAATGTCAATATTTGATTTTGGAATGATGTCAAAGGTCTGCTAAATATGTAAAACCAAAATCTTTCTCTCCAACAGAAAACACTATTATTGAAGAGTCTGAAACACCTGCCCCAGTCTTATTTGTAAAGGTGGTTTAGGTCTGTCGGCTGCTTGATTGTAACTTTCAATATCCATCTTTTGAATGGTAGAACCACCACCTTTGTTGCCATGGCTACTGTTGCAGCTACACCTGATGAGGACACCTGGGTTGCGACCTTTCTGACATTTCTTTTAAACCAATGAATGTTATACAACTATGATGTTGCGCTGCTTTCAAAGTTGACGGCACAATGAATTGCGGCTGGTTTGGTGTTTCCAATGTTAGATGAGTAAGGAAGCATCAAAGCTTCTTCCACGTCATTTCACTAAGTGAGGAACCTTCCTAAGCAAAACAATCCATTGTAACGCAAAGTGTGACTCATCAGACACTATATTAACCTGTGGATAAGTTGAATACTTGGAGGGAGAGTTTCTTCCTCAGTTTTGATAGGCAGCAATATAAATAAGTGATTTACATAAATGTATCATCTCTGTGTAAGTTCTGCAGGAAGGTTGAGAAGTTTGAGGGAGAATATTACAGTTATATAGTTATAGAATATTGTAAATAGTTCAGTTGTGTGTGTAATGAGCGGTTGGCACGGAGAGAGAGAGAGAGAGAGAGCAGATGTGTGATGTGAGACGACTGCCTGGAACAGATCATTAGAAGTTAGCAGTTTAGCTGTGAACTAGCAGTGAAAAGTGCAGTTCAGGCCAATGCTACAACTCCTCAACACCCAGTACTCTCACTGCTCTCACATACTCTGGTGCACCTTTATAGATGCTGACAAATGTAACTGTGAAAACAAGATGATGTATTTCGGTGTCATTCACTCATTGACTTACTACTGTTATATTTCAACCTATAGGATGAAAGGACTACTTTTGCACGAAACCAATGGTTTTTTAAATGAACATGCTAACTGTTTTGTTCGACAACAAAAAGACAACGATATTTGGTATCTTGTCTCTGATATTTTCTCTCCCCACAAGAAAGTAATAAGACAGAAGACTTTGCTAAAAGTAACTTATTTTGGACAATATTCTAATCATGATTATTTTACAGGATACGGCATTGACTCATCATGCACTTATTGAATTTAAAAGAAAAAATAATTTCTACACCCTCTAAGTGAGCTGCGCGGTTCAGATTTTCTCTCCTGAAGAACTTCTGTCCTGGTGTGTGTGTGTGTGTCTATGTTTGTGTGTGTGTGTTTCTGTCACTCTTCATACACAACAAAGATGATCACATGTATTTAGTTATTAATAATGATGTTGGATCATGAATCCAGATCATTCCAGTCACTTTAACCCTGATGTCCTGGATGTGCGCTTCATTTCTTATCTCGTTTTCTGTGTGGCAGGTGACTTTTTTTCCCAATGTGCTTAAATACATGTCTCATCAATTCTAGAGAGAATCAAACCAACCCAAAGCAGCTTCTGATTATTGAAGGTGTTTATTGTTGACATGTAAAGTGAGTGCAGCTCAGCAGGGGAGTTAGGAGGGAGGACAGGAGGGAGGACATGCAGCAGGGTAATCCGGCACAGTAAGCTACAAGGATACCGGGTTTATAATTTGCATTTGCCATAATCCCGAAGCAGCAGACGCAATAATTTTGCAGCGGGGAGCCGCTATAGCGTCCTGGCATTCAGTTGGGTACAAAGCCCAACTTTTATTTGAGGAATACAGTCGTTACCTAACACTGCAGCTCCACTGCAGACACTCAGCAAAAGCGCTGCCTGTGTGAACAGAGAGACTCATTGCAAAATGAAAAGCAGGATAATAAGTGTTTCATATCGATTACTTTGTTTTCAAAATCGTTGGAAGCTACAGTCCTAATTGAAATTCAATTAATTGCACAGCCCTAGCGTACAGATGATATGTTCAGAATGCATGGTCATAACCAAATGTTTGTAAAACAGACCAAATTATCACAATCAGTGGGAGATGATGACATTTTTAAATCCTGCAGTCTAAAATGTGTTAATGTATCATTTAAACATCAAGGATAAGACACAATCAATATTTTTCTTGTTCCTAACAAATACAATGAAAAGAGTCAAGGCGAATTATTATTATTATTCTATCAGAACCAAGAATTATCAGTGAGTCCCTCAATGCTAAACCTCCCAGCCCTGCATGTTGATTGCTGCCTCAAGCCAGTGATTCCTTCTACTGTCATAATGAAAGGTGGGCATTGGATTTACGATGCAGTGAGAAGAGCATGGTCTCCAGTGAAGATATTTATTTGAATGGGAAGAGAAGACATACCATTTATATAACATTATTGTTGAAAATGTCTGGTCCCTTTGGCTTTGACTAGGACTAATGGACCGTCCACATATGGACCAAAATCACTACATAAACAATTTAGTAGGACTGTTTGAAGTAGATCGCCTTGGAATCTCCTCTGAAACCTCACTGCCAGCTCGACATATGTCACCTGGGACAATTTAGTGTTATCTAGTAACCTATCCTGTTTGGACAATCAGTAGTGTGTGGAAATATTTTGGGTTCCACGCTGCAAATGGCAAAGTAACTCATAAAGATATAGTTATGCAAAGCAACTGTCTTAATCTTCAACAGCAAAAATCTTACTTGGTGGTCAAGTGGTCTATTGGAGTGGGCCCCCTAATGATTTAAGAAGATAAAAAGAAACTGGAAGGTTTTCTACAATCTGGAAAGTTTTTCTAAACAAATTACTTATAACTAGTTGATGAAGCATTCAAAATAATCTATTAACTATGAATGTAATCATTAATTATACCTCTATAACCATATAAATACTGCCATATCGGACAGTGGTACCATTATTTGCACATGTGTAAAGAGCCCCCATCTCTTTATGGACATTAGGAATGATAGCAAATAGGGAAATGTGTAATTTGAAAGGCAGGATAGTAAAACAAGCTTCCACACAGTGACTATTCAGCTGCCCTGGGCTCAAAGACACACCACAAAGATTAAGAATGTCGATCCAGTATCATGCCGAGAGCGAAATGATCAGCAAAACCAGGCACAAGCACATTGTTATTATCAAGAACAAAGTAATGGCTTCACATTAGAGGAACATTAGCCGGCTAGGCTTTCTGCTGAGTTTGAATATTTGGCTCAGTGAATATTTGGTAAAATGTTCTCAGCTGTTATTTCATTCCATTTCATGTCAGCTGTGTATTTTTGTGAAAGTAACATCAAGAAATTTAACAAACACAACAACAATCACAAGTCATTTCTGAAGTCGAACCTTCCTTGCTGATAGACCGGTATGATGGAGGACTGAGGGGCGGCTGGTGTAATGTCCCATCCTTCCAAAGATAGGCTGTTAGAAGAGTTCAGCTTATTATATACTAATCGATAACAAACTCCTGGATTTTGTTGTGGCGTTTCTCCCCATTCAGATCAGTTTCATTGACATGCTTTGGCTTTACAAGCCCTCAGGGGGAACTCATTGATGTGTAGAAGCCGATTAAGGAAATCAAGAACTTATTTCCTACTTGATGATTCCTCTAATTGAATGAGTCAGAAATAAGCATGTTAGAGCTTCTATTTATTATAATGGGATACATTGAAGTCCTGAGGAAACAGTGTTTTGTGTAAATATGAGTAATACGAGACACACAATGTCGTATGAGCCGCTGTGAGAACGAGGAGGAGAACCACCTGCATCCAACCCACTTTCATACTCATGATAATGTGCAGTCACTTGTCTCACTTGTATACAGCATACAGTACATTCCCTTTGATAAGCCAGTGTAGCAGCAGGAGCTGTGGCTCCTTTAATCCTCAGAATTCATGTCAGTTTGAAGTATTATAACAAGTTTCTGGAATTCAACTACATTTACAGTAGGTGTGAAACAAGGCAGAACGACATCATGTCTCCCTGCGGGTAGATACTAAACCCTCTTATTCCCTTTTCAGGCTTTAGACACTCCAGAATAGATACAGCATACATGCACACCATTGGCCGCTGGTCAGTACAGGGTGCTGTCATGAATTCAGCGGTGGCGCACATACTTATTTTCTGCGGAGAGTAACGATATTTCTGCGCACATATTAGTGAATGAGGCCCAGGAGGCAAAATGTTTGTGGCAGGCTTAGTATTGCTCAGCAGCTCGATAGGATACAGGATTGGCTAATTGTGTGTTGAGTTGTTTTTGGTGAGTCTGGCTTCAGCTTGTTTGTGCATCCCCCAATACATTTTATCACTAGCGGCCACTGATGCACACAGTGGGTTAATGCACTGGGTGCCTGCGCAAATGAGCAGATGAAACACAGTGAGAGCGGCTGACGTTTTGGGCTGCACACACCATGCATGAGAACATTTACTGGCACAGAAAGACTATGAAGTGTTTTGTATGTTAACCAGACCCTCAGGGCTACAAGGATGCAAAGAAGCGTAAATGACCTGGCCTTACTTTTGTCAAAAGAATCCCATGAAAAGTCCAAAACAAACAATGCATTAGTCTCTCACTCTAATGCATTTTCAGAGACTATTAATCCTCATCTGGTGCTCTGTTGATTATTTGTGTGTATGTCACTCAGTGCGTGTGATGTAATTCTAATAATTTCTGGAAAGGCTTTGACACATATAGACACACTTCTTGTTACTGGGGTGTATTTGTTGTGGTTTATTGTCTTGTGGTGGGTTTGGTTGACAATCAAGGAATTCGAGGAGTTAACTTTGGGAGCTAGCTGGTGCCATCTAAGATGTGGGATGCCGTTGCCCACTTATTATTTAAGTTTTGTTGACTTTTTTAAATTCGAAGCACCACTCTGTCAAAATAACGTTGGAAGGGAACATGTCTGTGACGGTTTGTTACACTTTAAATGTCTTCCTGTGGGTGTCAGGTGACTGAGAGGAGGCCGAGCACGACAGAGTAAAATGAGCATAAAACACAAAGAGTCTTCATATTGACTGTGATGGATTATCAGGCACTGTGGAAACTGTTTTCATAGTGAATACCTATAAGGGTAGTAGTAGCAGTAAAGGTTTTGCACTGCAGGAGAAAAACAAACCATGCAAAACTAACTTTACATTACCACTGTGTTAAATACTGATATGTGTATCACACCATTAAAGATGCACTACCAAAAAGTTTTTAACAAAGGATCAAATCAATATCAGATTGTAATCCATTCAGTATTTTCTAGATTAATCATGTGTGTTGGACATGCATACAGAGTTTCACAACTCTTCCTGGTCCCCCCCCCCCATTTACACCCATCCCATCCCAACCTGTTCAGCCAGATGGTTGCCCGCTCTGAGTCTGGTTCTGCAAACCCCAGCACCAATAAAGACAAAGACAGTTTCAAGGACTGACATAACAATACAAACCAAATGACTATTGGTGGAACATCTCACCTGAAGGGCTCTCTAGTCCACCAGCTGCTGTGTCCCCTCCTGCTCCAGCAGAGGCAGCGTTGGGGGCAGTGGTAATGCTGGTTGTTGTACTGCCGCCATACTTCTTACTGCCACTGTACTCTGTGTTGCTCTCATCATCCCGCACTGTGGTGGCTCCTGATTGGATGCCAGAATCTGAGGCGTAGTATGTCTGCTGCCACTCGGCCACCTTCACCATACTGTCCGCCTCGCTCACTGCAGAGAACACCACAGGGCTGATGTCAAACACTGATGATACAAGCACCGCTACTACTGTCACTGCTGCCACTCACACTATGACTGTTTGTAGCAATACTGCCAGTCCTACCTCTTCAACTACTACTGAAAATTGTACTGGTAGTGCTCATACTACACATCTGCATGTATTGCTTCTACTGAGTAGTAGTAGTACTGCTACAGCTACATCTTAAACTACAATTCCTATTTGTACTTTCTACTGCTGTCAGTAGTAATACTAATACTCTCACAGTCCGCACTACAACTGATTTTTATATCGCTTGTACTAATAATGCTGCTTAATTTGGATAATAAAAACTTCAAGTTAGCGAAGAAGAGGACTTATTCTGCCATGTGTCATAAGTGTTAACAGTAGGTAACAAATAACAACACAGCACTCACTTTGCATGGACATCATCTCTGTCCACTGGTACCACTTCCTTCACAGACTTTTGACCTGTAGAGAGAGAGAGCAATCCTTAACTCTGCAATTATGATTATTGGACGATTAATGCCGTCAGGACATTTAGCTGATCTGTACTCATGTAAAGTATTTGAAGTATTTTACTCACGTAAAGTTATTCTCATATTCCTCTAAGAGATCCTGTATTTATGTGCTTAGTGCCTCACATGGGTCCAGCAGGGCTACATTTGCTTGCTCAAAGTAGTAAGCTCCCAGTCACATGACTACCACTACCACTGAGAAGTATGAGAATTCATACAGTATATTATTGCCAACATTTTCAGTCAGTATGCTCTGGTCAGTGATGTCAGCTCCATCTTTATTGCTGCATTAATTAATATAATCATTCAAATGACTGATCATAAAAATTCATTATGAAGTGGTTTAGTGATCATTTTAAAGTGTAATTTCTGTCAGTAATCCCTGTACAGTAGCGAAGTATAACATGTAAAGATCCTGATGAACTTAAAAATGTTTGATAAGAACATCCTCGCTACTGTATCTGCATTGGTAATAGTATTTCTTTCCAGGGCACCAAGAAGTGCCTGAGCAGCAGCTGCAAGTCGCAAATGTCAGTGATGTGAAGCACAGAAAACTCCAGAGAGCACACTTATCTAAGTCCCAGGAGCCAAGGCCACATGAAAGGTCAAAGCTTTTCATCTTCCCTGCCAAAAGCTCTTCGCAGACCTCACTGTTTTATGGGAATTCACACTAACGCTCAAAAAGAGGAGGTGTGTGTGTGTGTGTGTGTGTGTTAATTCACAAGAGATAATAAACAAACGTCCCACACAACTATCAGTTAAACGAATGAAATAACAGCTCTAACTCAGCATGTAATGTATAGGGCACCACTAACCATATAAAGTACAAACTGGACAAGTTGTCATTCTAAGGGCTCACATAGAGACAACAATTACACCTATGGGTCATTTGTGTAAAATGTCTTTGGCCTGTGGAAGGAAGCCAGAATGCTAAGGGAGAACATGCTTGACTTTTCAGTTGAGCTTTATGCTAAACAACAACAACCATTGTTACTGACCATATATCCATACTAGTGCTTGTGCGTGCATGTGTGTGTATGTGGTTGCTCAAATGCGCAGGCGTACTACACCAGTATCAGCAAATGCAATCATGGAAGAGCAATGACACCTTCACTGCTCTGTGTGCAAATAAACAGGACATTTGTGTTGGTGAGTTTACAGATGTGTCCAATGACACCGTGTTTGCGTGTGAGTTAATGTGTCATGTGTATCTGCGTGTCAGCATGAGAGTAAAAGAGGGGAAGACAGCGAGCGACGTCAGGAGGGGCTGGGTAAATAAAGGAATGTGCATATATGGAAAAGAATCAGTCATTATGTAGGGATCAGTGTGGATTTTGTGGTGGTGGTAGCAAACAAACTTAAGAAACATAAAATATGTTTGAACTGTACAGTCATACCACTCTCTAACTCTGTGAGTGTGTCTCTCTAACTCTGCTGTCCTTTTGTTCGGTGTTTAACTACACTTAATAATATGCAACACTTCCTGCACAGATGTTGGCCTGTTGTCATCAGGGTGTGCCAACACAGCTCATTAAATTACATCTTGTGATGTGTCACCTATTTTTATTGAGCGTTGACTATGGGGCCATTATCGAGCGATTAAAAGATGTGAGCGGAGAGTTGTGTATCATATATCATATTGGTAAATGTGAAAAAGAAAAATTCTCAATGGTTTGTCCAGTTTCCGTATCTAGTGTATAGAGATTCGTTAACGTGCAAACAACTCTGTACAGACAAGTCATCAGCTATACTGCTGTATGGTTAGCACCTTTATTCTGTATTTTTTTACTTTCCAAAGCGTGTTGCAGCATTGAAGTCCTCCCTGAAGAGAGGCAATGGAATCTTAATTCTACCCAAGCACAGTATTCTGTGCAATACAATTTACAAATCCAATTGGATTTGGTCACAGTATGGTCAATTTAACTCTGGCCCTGGCATCACCTAATGTCATAAATCTTAAAGCCACAAAGTGCTTTTGATCTAAGTTGACATCCCATGATTTTGGACTATCATTGTTTCTCTGCCTGCCTGCCTCTCCAGCCACACTCTGCACACCAGTAAGTCCTCCCTTCAGCCAGTCCAGTCAGCATCATTAACTATTTTACACTGGGGCAGCTGTGGCTCAGGGGGCACAGCAGGTCATCCTGCAACCCAGTGGTTTGATCTCAGTCTGCCCAGTCCGAATGCCGAAGTGTCTTTTGGCAAGATACTGAAACACAAATTGCCCTTGACGACCGCCGTTCTCATAGAGACAGTGCTACACATAGATGCACTGTATGAATGTGTGCGTGAATGGGTGAATGACAAAAACTGTACCATAAAGCACGTTGAGTGGTCATCAAGACAAGAAAGAGCTATATGAATACAGCCTATTTGCCATGTACATCACTTACACACTCTCGACACAGGGGCAATATGGGTTTCATTTTCTTGCCCAAGGACGACCTGCTCTGCGTCCTGAGCCAAAGCTCCCCCAGAGATGTCAGAGAGCACCAAAAGGCTTCACATATCTATTTAAACTGTGAAAACTGTCTTCTCTGGAGAAGAGGCCCCGGGAAAGGTTCAGCTTCACAGCCGTAATCCATTTCATTCCATACAAGATATTACCCTACACTAAATCAAGAAGGTTAAGCCCAGTGTATAGTTTATATTCATGCATATTTTTGAGGGACGTCGAACCTGATTTACCTCCGGCTGCGCTCCACCTGCATTCATCAAATGGTGTGATGACAACTTCCTTGATCTGAATGTCACGAAAACTAAAGAATGAATTATAGATTTCAGGAAGGGCAGTTCCAAACCCAAACCCAGCTTCATACACAGCAAAGATGTACAAATCCTACAGACACACACAGACTCACAACTCAAATCTGATGAGAACATTGCCAAGCGGGGACATCAAAGAATTCATTTGCTGAGGACGAAGAGGAAGAAGACTTTATGCAATTTTTATAGAACTTTTTCATGTGTGTGCTGGTTCCATGGGTCGTCTGTGAAAGACAAAACCTGTTTGCCGCCAAGATCACTGTTCTGTTCAGGGAATCCTCTGTAATGCCCTCAGGCCGGCGTTATTATGCACCAGCACGGAAAAACAAATCGTTATGGAAATTCCTTCATTCCATCTGCAATCGGGCTACTAAATGCTGATAGTAGACAACCTGCAGACATCTAAGCCACCCTTGATATCATGTGAATCGTCTTCTTCCTCAAACTGTTCTCATCTGGCTCCTCTTGATCTGAGCACTTCTCACTGACATGTTGATGCTGATGTTGATTGATAGTTTATTAGATTTTTTTGTTCTGTTTATTCTATTTACATTACTAGGACTGACTGTAAAGTGAATTGTCCTTTTGGGAATGATAAAGTTTTCTGATACAGATAATGAAGATGGGAATTCTAACTACTGTGTAACTGCAGTGACACATTAACACCTGTTCTTATGCACTGTCTGTTTCTGAATATCTCCAGTGGACCAGGAAAAATGACCATACAAGTGTAAATGTAGAACACAACAGAAATCTGAATGGCTCCATTCAAATTGGCTCCATCAGAGCACAGCACATCAGGACATGGTCTGGTTCACATTTCATTTCTGGAACTTCACGGAGAACTTTCATTATAAATACGGAGATGTAGTATGGGGAGAGACAGAGTCATATAAACTGTAACAAGCTCCCAGCCAGATTTGAACCTGGGCAGTCACATGGTACACATCTTTACCACTAGCGACCTGACACACGTGACCACACTCTTAAGAAAAGAAAAATCAAGTCGGATAGTTACAAACAAGGGCTTCCTCTCCCCATAAACAGACACAGTAAACACACTTTCATTTTCTTTTTTCATTTCTATCATGTACGTTGTCAAAATGTGTCCAATCCATTATAACTGTATCATTATCGACTCCTATGGAAACTTATCAAACAGCTTTGATCAAATGTTTTGACATATTTCTAAAATCCTCTGAAGGCCACTGAGTGCCAAGCGACCACAACTACATTTAAATTGCTCGCCCACATGTAAACACAGTCAGCTGTGGTCAGAGGTACTGCTACAATAAACTGCGAGGGGTTTTTGTAGATCTGTAAAATGTGATTTTTGTCACGTAAAGGTCACCTCACTGGGCCAATACACAGACACACCTGCACTCTCTACAGAAGTCTGCACCTAGTAATACAAACTGAGGTGATGACAGTACAGGTACAGTGATGCACCATGCTGTGCAACTTCACTGGAGGTTAAAGTGAACCACCATGATGTGGTTTTGTCTGGCAACACCAGGGTTTGCTCAGGTTGAAGACTCTCTGAACCTTATGTGACACAAAGCAAATTAAGTCCTTTGTTTTGTTTTTAATGTCACTAACTGTTGGCATTATAGTACATTAGTACCACAGATCATTTTAATACAATCTCTGTACTCTGGACTACTACATCTGTCAGTATGGTACATTGGATGTGTGCTACAGCTGTCAGTTGACTAGATTGGATGCTGTTCACATGTTTTGCACTAAACTGATGTAGTTTCACTGTTAGTCCCTGTGAGGAATATCACAGGGAAGTGGACATGGAAGAAAATGTAGAGCCAGAGACGCATGGCCAAACAGCAAGTAAAGGTATTTTAAATCCTGATTTGATCAAGAGGAAAACTGCAGATCAACATAATTCAGATTAATTAGAAAAAAAAGTCAAATAACATAACATCCTTTTGCCTATTCCCCTTCATATTTCTGTGTAAACTGTATAACCTGTTATTCTCTGGAGAACAGACCCCAGTAAAGGTTCAGCTTCGCAGCCATAATCCATTTGATACCACTTGTGTTCACAAAACCTTCAATGTGGTGCTCCAAGCACCTTCCTTATTTTCAACAGCCAGTCAGCCAGACAGTGCGCTGCTTGGCCTCTTGAGCTGCCTGTCAGTGAGGTGTAAATTGCTCTGGGCCTCCATATGTTTG